CCACAGAAGATAAAAACCAAAAAGAACTGACAAAGCCAATTGGATTTGATGATAAAACAGATTGGGTTATGGTTGAATCTGATGAAAGAAAATATGAAAAGAGATTCGAGGACGATAGAAGATGGCGCTTTGAAAATATCACCAGAATAATGCGAGATAAACTCGGAACACTAAATTCTGCTGAAAGAGAGAAATTCTTCAAAGAAGCACCAAATATTGTTTCAAGATTAAAAGAAGAAACTCAGACATTCAAAGATGCTCGTTATGTGCTTGATGAAATATTGGGGATAGGAAGTGAGAAAAAAAATCTCCATGAAAAGGATATTTATGAAATATTTGAATTGTTTGTTTTGGCAGATTTTGAAGAACAGGTCTGGGAAGAAACTTATGCTTTTCAAAGGCTTAAAAGGCATAAGGAGATATGGATCTCAAGTTTTGACAATTGGAGCTGGTGTGAGAATCGGATTAACAGTTTGAAAGAAATAAAAAAAGAGAAATACACAACAAATTTCCATTTTCGATGTTTTATTTCTCAATTGACTGATGAGGGATGGATTGATATAGGATGGGATGAGTTTAAATTGAGATCAAGACATAGAAGATTGAATGAGTTTGTAAGTGAAGACTTAAGATTATGGAAAGAAATACGAGGGCAATGGGTAGACAAGCCAAGAGCGGAAATCCGGAGCTATGAAATTGAAAATGAAGACAAAAAACATGAAATGTTTCATTTCTCCCATTACAAACAAATCCCCCTTGAACGATTAATTGAGGCATGTAAAAAACAACAAGAACGAATGGAAACGATCATAAAATCACACATAAAATATCTGATTCCAATAGAAGATTCGGAGAAGAATAATGTTCCATTTAATATTGAATCACTTCTCGATAAAACTTCTGCATCCAAAAGATCTTATTGGCTCCCTATTATTTATGGGCCCTATCCCTTCCCCCACTACATATTCCAATTAAGAAATCCTCCTCGTTCAATTTGTCAAAAGAATCATTCAGGGAAATGTCAAATGGATGGGTTTAGAAAAATGAAAGGATATTCAGAGTTACCTAAAGAATTGCACCTTCCAGTATGTGGTGAAGTCACGAAAAATGAGGTTTTGTTTCTGGACAGTTATCTTAATTGTATAGGATCTTATGGAGATCTGACCTTTTTTTCCAAAAAACAAGAACCATTTCTATTTCTTTGCTGTCAAAATCTCTTAGATATTCCATTTTTGATTCTCTTGGATCATCCAAATAATTATGAAAATGGGGAAAGTCTTCCTGGATTGGATTTCAAGACGAAAATCCATAATATTGATGTCGGAGTATTAAGAGAATACTTTGAAGAGTCGAAGCTCAATGAGAGAGTCTATGCTTTGATCGAGTGTGATATAGATTTGAAGCCCCACATCCGCTTGATTGATTATCAAGGGAATCCAAAAACAGAATGGCTTGAGTTTTGGAATGTGCCGAAGTCGGCTTCCTATAGCCAATTCACTAACCAACTGGAGCCTAGAATCAGTAATTGAAGATAAAGAAGTTACTGAGAAGAAAGACAAAGAAAAGATTTTTCTTGCTCTGCATCCTACGCTACTTTTCCTGACCACAATTTCCATAGTTTGTATTTTACTAGTCCAATTTTTGAATTCAATCTGTATTGATGCCACTTGTTTTTTTCTTCTCTTTCTTGAAATGAATAAAGTATTTATTCAAATAGAGCGTGATGGCGTGATTTTGAGGATGTGACTGACAAAGAAAAAAAAGAAAAAATGTTGCTTGATCTGTATCCTAGCCCTAGTCTTCCTGACTTCACAATTTCCAGAGTTTTTATTTTACTCGTCCAATTTTTGAACTTTATCGGTCTTGATGGCACTTGTTTTTTTCTTTTTCTTCAAATGAATAAAGCATTTATCCAAATAGAATGTTTTTCATTCTTGAAGTTTTCATAAAACCCACCATAAAATCTACTTTCTGCCGGCTCTCAGTAATAAATGCGATTTTCAGATTAACGCACACAGATAAGAGAAGGCTAAGAGATAATCAGAAATTGGAATGAAACACCACTTTGTGATCGAATCTTGTAAACACCACCTTTCTAGTGCACACCGAACACCGAATTCTTCGTTTTTGCTTGCAAAAATGACTCGAGCCCGCCAGAAAGGATGCGTATAAAATATTTGATCACCAGTGAAAAAGTACCAGTTTTTGAAGATCAAAACGAATGTGTCCTAACAATTAGCAAATTGAAGACGGGAGGAGTTGAGGGGTCAATGGAGGAGACAGGACGAATGATCAATGATGGAGATGGAGGGGGAGAAGCCGATTGAAATACAGGAATTGAGGACATTGAAAAGGGAGTTGAGGGGACAAGACACTCACGATCCTCGTCACCCTGATCGGACAGGCCGGAAAACAGCGTTTGGTTCCGTTTCCTCAAACAGGACAAGCTTGCACTTTTCATCTGAAAAAAGGGCTAAGACTTGAAATTTTTACTGCAATGGACTCTGTGACTTCCAGGATTAGACCTGAAATCTCTAAAAATACAAATTTATGTAAATTTCTTAGCCAAAACGGCGAGATCTCAAATCACTCGTCAAAGCCTCGAAATTTTTCCTCTAATCGCTAGAAATTTCAGTGCAACAGCTGCTGTGCGTTCCAGGATTAGCATTGGATCAATAAAAACATTAGTTTAATTCGAGAAAATAGAAATTTTTCAGCTTGTAATTACAAAAATTTGGAGTTTTTTGTTGAGTTTTTTCGGGAATTTTGAGGTTATGGAATGCACGAGGAAGATTGGTGAAAAGAAAACCTGAAGATCTGGCATTATCACTAGTCGAGCCATACGGTGATGAGGACGAGCAACGCGACCAAGGGTGTGGAGGCCGAATCGGGCGAAGCCGGAAAGTGGATTTGTGGTTTTTGCCAGTTCTGGATGTCACAGCAGGGTTTACAGTAGTTTTCACTTGAAATTCTCACATTCATCACCTCGGGGCACATCAACGGTGACGAATTTCCGCGCCAACGAGCCCCAACCTTCCGCATTTCGAGCTTCAAGCTAAAATCTATAAATTAGCATCAATTCAATATTTTGCTAGATTTTCGTCTTTCCTCGAACGCACCTGAACCTCGTAAGTGGTCCCCTTTTGCAGAAACGAAGCTAAATCAATCGAATTCTGTTATTGCTTCCTTCCATTTACGGGTTTCCTTCATTTATTGGTACTAATCCTTTATTTTCTTATCGTTGCTTGTACATTTGTGAATTCTTAAAACTGTTCTTTTCCCTGCGTTTAGTAATAACATATCAATGAGAATAATGAATTCATTTGATTATGGATGTAAATAAATATCTACAGAACGAAAACATCCCAAGGATAGCACTCCACCAAATCGAAGGGACTTGCTTCGTTAATAGTTGAACAAAGACAGTTTCAGAAAGACAGATTCAAGATCAAACGTGGCAATTCGATATGGCGAATGAATAAAAGCGAGAGATAAGGCCTTCTTTGTTCAAGACCTCGACTCTTTTCAAACGCAGCTAAATAATATTTTTTGTTGACTCGATCAATCCTATCTTGCATATAATTTGAAAAATTCAATTTTGGCTCCTTGTTCATTTTGATTCATTTTGATTTTGCTCTTCGATATGTCTTCATTAGTGAGGGCTTTAACTTAAAAACTGAACCCAAGGACTTAAAAGGAAATAAACTCTGCCAAATGATAAATGTAACTAGATTTAGTCTTTCGCAGAGCCCAGCTCTGCCAGAACCTTCAAGGATTAGCTGTTTAATCTAAGCACAACTGTTAACTGAATAGAGAAATTCTCGAAACCTTTCGCAAATTCTCTCCTTGCCACCTCAGCACTGCTGTTAACCATGGTCGTGAAATCGACCAGTTCGCGTTATGAGATGTGGCAATCGTTGCTCCAGTTGAAAGTGACAAAGAGTTTCAGGAAAAGCCTGGAGCACGGGCTTCCAATTCTCGGCCAGCCGACTAACTGAAAAGAACATATCTAATAAGGCTCGCGAGGCTCGTAAATAAACATCTGTAGGGGTGGGTGAGACACTAACTCTACTAATCACGAAAAACCTTCTACAATTAAACCAGAATGAACTTTAAACCGAATCTTCCCCTTTTTAAACCACAAACCACAATACTTCGACACAAAATCAAATAAAGTTGTCGAGTCAGTAAAACAAATGCACAAAATTATATTTTGTGACTCACTGTAAAAAATCTCATTCCGTTAAACTTTTTTCTTGTTCGTCTATAGAATATTTTGTGCGGATGGCTAGGTTAGATTTATTGTTAGCCAAATCTGAAAACCCATAAATGCATAAAACTAGATTTTGTTATGATGATTGTTAGGAGAATTTTCGAAGCCCTCTGGGACTAAAGTCAAATTTAAGATAAACAAAAGTGTTGAATGAACTAATAAGTTCCAGTTTATTGTTATCATATCCCTCTCCTTTTCCCAAAACCCAGAATCAATCAGTATGGGAATAGAGTGGAGAGAAGAAAGAGATAAGGCATTCCTTTCTTGCAAAAGTTTTTGCCCTCACATTCTAACTGCTTTTCGAGTTCTCATTTCATCTCTTCTGGTATATTTTATATTTTTAGTGCTTAAGGTCAAAGCCTTATTTGTGTGAAATGACAACATCCAATCAATTTCTTGAACGTTATATTGGGAATGGAGCAATGGGGCACGTGTATGAATTGATTGGACACAAACCGTTGGTTATTTTTGATCTATTCACTGTTATGTTCAAGAATTAATCTTTTGTAGAGGTTGTATTGTACCATAAGCTTCTTTTTTTAGCCCGGCCGTGATCAAATATATGCAGCCAAAAAACAGTGCAGAATTGAAGATCTTCAAAAATGAATGTGAAGCTTTGAAGAAGATCTATCATGAAAATATTGTCCGATTGTATCGATACACAGAAGAAGGAATAAAAGTTGGAATTGTAATGGAATATTGTCAGAAGGGACCACTCAAGGGACAGATGAGACAGAAGGAACAGAATGGAGGTTGTTATTGGATTGGTATTGTCAGATCTTAGGGTTTAGTGATCTTTGATCCAGCAATCGTATATTCAATGAACACTGTTCTCACCTGGGGAATCCAATTATTTGATGCCATTGATCACATGTATCAGAACCACAAAATGGTACATCGAGATATCAAACCAGACAAGTAATATGCAGTGGTACAAATGTCGAAATTTAATTAATTTATAGCATTTTTGTGACCAATGAATACCAGCTGAAGATTGGTGACTTCGGATTGGTAAAAGTAGTGGGAGATGGAACTGTTACGGGAACGTTTATTGGAACACAACGATATATGAGTCCACCTGAGATGAAGGAGGATCGGGTACAACGGGATGTTTATGAACAAATAAAGGAGGCTGATGTATCGGTTAGTTTTACATCCATTTCTATCCAATGAAAAGAAATACTTATTCCAGAATTCCCATCGAAATGATATTTACAGTCTGGGACTTGTTATGTGGGAGATCATCGAAAGGCGGTATCAATAAGGGCATTGATCTCATTTGAAATATAACTAAGACTTCAAAACAACATTTACATGGTTTTAGAACCATTTTCACAAACTATGAGATGCCTGGAGGATTTGATCGTGACCAATTATTGTTCGATATTGCACTCAAACGTGTTACTGAAATCGAATCACCTGAATGTCAATCAGAAATTCAAAAAACCATCTTGAGGTCTGGATTTAAATTTTTTTTATATTTTAAGAATCCATCTACCAGATGTACTAATTTTCAACGTATTCATCGTCCACCAGCTTCTGAAGTCTTGGATTCCCTCAAACAAACACAGAAAGTAAGCTTTTCTAAAAGAAGTTGAATTTCTTGTTACTATTATATTGAGTATTTAAAAGTGAAAGTATTTAACCTCGAAAATTTCCTTTCACTTATTTTACCACTATGATGAATAGAATTTTCATTTTCAATGTAGAATGCTTAGGACTACCAAATATGAAAGTTTTAAAAGCTTTTGGGGTAAAATAGCTGAGAACGGCCGGATCGAAGTTGATTGATGTTCACATCGCATGAAAATCACCAATCACCATCTTCTTTCTTTCTAGAAGCTCAGGGGAAACTTCATGTTTAAAACAATTAGAAAAGCACTTCTTGGTGATGATTTTCACGCCGACCTGCGGACAAATATCTCCAAAATAAGCGTTCTCTGAGTGAAAACTGTTTAAACGCCCACTCTCTGACATACAGCCGGCTATGTTTGGTTCAATTACCCAAGTATGAAATGCTTTTCTACAAACTAACTCGCTTTTCTGCACTCTTTTTTTCGTTTTTTGAACCAAGAGATTTGCTGAAATTTTAAGGTTCACTATTTCAAAGTTTCCCTTCTATAGTTTAAAAGAAAGAAGAACTTTTGTGATGGAACACGGACTTACTTGCCATATAACATAAGTCAAGTTCAATCCGGCCGTTCTCAGCTATTTTACCACAAAGGGTTCTCAAGCTTTAATACTTGGTAGTCCTACATAAAACATAAGAATCCTACATAAAACATGAAAATCCTAGCTAATTTAATGATGAAATAAGTAAATAGGAGTGAAAAAAGGTTTGCGAGGTTTTATACTTCCCAACCGAATTGTTTAGTAAGTCTCCTTTTTGTTGAACTTTTATGCCTCTCAAATATGATAACCTAGGCAAATGAATTCATCTCTTCACTCCCTTTTATGCCCACAGAAGATGAAAACCAAAAGAAACTGATGAAACCAATTGGATTTGATGATACAACAGAAGGGGTTATGGTTGAATCTGAGGAAAGGAAATATGCAAAGAGATTCGACGGGGCAAGCATTTGGGAAATTCCAGAAATCACGAGAATAATGCGAGATAAACTCGGAACCCTAAGTCCTGTTGAAAGAGAGAAATTCTTCAAAGAAGCACCAAATATTGTTTCAAGATTAAAAGAAGAAACTCAGACATTCAAAGATGCTCGTTATGTGATTCAGGAAATATTGTCGATAGAAGGAAACGCGGAAAATCTACCTGAAAAGGATATTTATGAAATATTTGAATTGTTTGTTTTGAGAAATTTTCAACAACAGCTCTGGGGAGAAAACAATGCTTTTGGGCATCTTAAAAGTCACGAGGAGACTTGGATATCAAGTTTCGTAAATAGGTCGTGGTGTGAGGAGTCGATCAACGAATTGAAAGAAATAAAAGGAGAGAAATACACAACCAATTTCTATTTTCGATGTTTTATTTCTCAATTGACTGGTGAGGGATGGATTCATTTATATTTCAATAGGTTTGTATGTGAAGACTTGAAATTATGGAAACTAATACCAGGACAATGGGTAGACAATCCAAGAACTGAAATCAGGAGCTATGAAATTGAAAATGAAGACAAGAAACATGAATTGCTTCATTTTTCCCATTACAAACAAATCCCTCTTGAACGAATAATTGATGTATTTGAAAAACAACAAGAACGAATGGAAACGATCATAAAATTACACATAAAATATCTGATTCCAATAGAAGATTCGGAGAAGAATAATGTTCCATTTAATCTCGAATCAATACTCGATGAATCGTCTGAATATGAAAAATCTTCGGACACTGAATCAACTTCTGAGTCTGACGAAGAATCTGAATCTTCTTATAAGCCCCATCCCTTCCCCCACTACATATTCCAATTAAGAAATCCTCCTCGTTCAATTTGTCAAAAGAATCATTCAGGGGAATGTCAAATGGATGGATTTAGAAAAACGCAAAGAAAGTTTTCAAATTTACCTAAAGAATTCCATATTCCAGTATGTGGTGAAATCACGGAAAATGAGGTGTCGTTTCTGGACATTTACCTGGATTGTATAAGATCTTTTAGAGATCGGACTTTTCGTTTCGCGAATCATCCATTTCTATTTCTGTGCTGTCAAAATCTCTTAGATATTCCACTTTTGATTCTCTTGGATCATCCAAATAATTATGAAAATGGGGAAAGTCTTCCTGGATTGGATTTCAAGACGAAAATCCATAATATTGATGTCGGAGTATTAAGAGAATACTTTGAAGAGTCGAAGCTCAATGAGAGAGTCTATGCTTTGATCGAGTGTGATATAGATTTGAAGCCCCACATCCGCTTGATTGATTATCAAGGGAATCCAAAAACAGAATGGCTTGAGTTTGAGGAAGTGCTTTGGGCTTTTCGGCAATTCGGTTCCCTAGGGCGATTTTACCGACCAACATCGGTAGACGCAGAATCGGTAGACGAAGAAATAGAAGTTACTAAAGAAGAAAGACAAAGAAAAAATGTTGCTTGATCTGTATCCTAGCCCTAGTCTTCCTGACTTCACAATTTCCAGAGTTTTTATTTTACTCGTCCAATTTTTGAACTTTATCGGTCTTGATGGCACTTGTTTTTTTCTTTTTCTGCAAATGAATAAAGCATTTATCCAAATAGAATGTTCTTCATTCTTGAAGTTTTCATAAAACCCACCATAAAACCTACTTTCTGCCGGCTCTCAGTAATAAATGCGATTTTCAGATTAACGCACACAGATAAGAGAAGGCTAAGAGATAATCAGAAATTGGAATGAAACACCACTTTGTGATCGAATCTTGTAAACACCACCTTTCTAGTGCACACCGAACACCGAATTCTTCGTTTTTGCTTGCAAAAATGACTCGAGCCCGCCAGAAAGGATGCGTATAAAATATTTGATCACCAGTGAAAAAGTACCAGTTTTTGAAGATCAAAACGAATGTGTCCTAACAATTAGCAAATTGAAGACGGGAGGAGTTGAGGGATGAACGTTCTTTGTGCCCCCTCTCAGTAATGAATGCAATTTCCAGATGAACACACGCAAATAAAAGAAATCAGATTTTCACCAAAAGGGGAATTGGAAAGAAACCTTTATAGTCTTCATAAAAATTTTAAAATTTATTCTAAAAGATTAAACATGGCCATGTTTAATGTGTCCGAGCCTACTCACTGCTTAGCTTTAGTTTTTCTACTATTTTCTCTGACTTTTAAAAGGATTTCTGTTTCATTTTCGTTCTGTAGAGATTCATTTACATCCGTAATCAAATAAATTTATCATTCTCATTGATATGTTATTAATAAACGCAGAAGAGAAGAATATTTTATAAAATTCACAAATATACAAGCCAGGATGGGAAAAAAGACAATGAGTACCAATAAATGAGGGAAACCCGTAAATGGAAGGAAAAAAAATAATAGGAGAAACGGTGTATTCATCAAAATGGGAAAAATATGAGAAAGTGCTGAGCTGTGTTCTTGGGAATTGGAGATGAAAATTGGGAACCTCTTCTTCAAAATGGTACCTTTCCTTTGCGGTTACGGTAGCTTTGTTCACGTGTTAGCTCTGTGATCTATTGGGTTGGGGAGAATGAGTCGGCGCCAAACTTTAAAGGGACTTTTTGCACACATAAAGCCTTCTTTAAACATACGTTTGGTTTCATCAAAAGGATCCACTATTTCTCTACAAAATCACTTTTGAGAGATTCCACAAAGCTTTTCTTTCGTGAAGTTTATGAACTTCCAAACGCAGCTGGTTAAAATGGCAAAGAGTCCGCCTCATCATTTGAACAGTTTCTTTCACATAAACCTTCCTTGGTGTTTATATAAAAAAGATAGAGCACATTCAATTCAATTCAAAAAACATATTATTTGTTATAATTTCATGTGTATGCATAATACATCCTCTTTTCTTTTAGACACTGTATTTTTCTATAAAATAACCAACGGTTTATGTCCCTCCAATTCAAACACATCCCCCATTGCTCCTCGACCAATAAGTGGTTCTTGTTGCCATAGTTTATCGTGGGCCGCTAAAACTGCAAATGTCCCTGACAATAAAAATAATTTCAGAATAAATTAAAGTTTATAGTTAAAATGAAGCGCAAAAAACTTTGGCCTTTACATTTGTGAATTTTACAAATTTTTCTTTTTTGTCTGCGTATAGTAATAACATATCCATGAGAGTAATAAACTTATTTGACTACGGATGTCAATGAATATCTACAGAACGAAAAGGAAACAGAAATCCCTTTAAAATTAAGAGAAAATAGTGGCAAAACTAAAACTAAGGAAAAACTAGGTTGGAACACATTGACCATGTTTAATCTTTTATAATAAGTTTGAAAATGTTTTTGAAGAGTATAAAAGTTTCATTTCCATTTCCCTGTTGGTGAAAATCTCGTTTTCTCATATTTGTGTGTGTTGGTCCGACACTTGCATTTATTTCTGAGAGGGGGTAGAAAGTACGTTTTATGGTGGGTTTTGTGAAAATTTCAAGGATCACGTTAGGAGCACGTTTTATTTAGATAACTACTTTATTCACCTGAAAAGAAATAAAACAATTTGCATTGAGACAGAAAGTGAAAGAGAGGACTAATAAAATAAAAACTCTGGAAATTGTGAAGTCAGGAAGACTAGGGCTAGGATACAGATCAAGCAACATTTTTTCTTTGTCTTTCTTCTTTAGTGACTTCTATTTCTTCGTCTACCGATTCTACGTCTACCGATGTTGGTACCGGTAAAATCGCTCTAGGGAACCGGATTGCCGAAAAGCCCAAAGCACTGTGCCAAAATCAAGCCATTCTGTTTTTGGATGCCCTTGAAAATCAATCAAGCGGATGTAGAAGTTATCTTCTTGATTCTTGGCCAAAGCATAGACCCTCTCATTGAGCTTTGTCTTTTGAAAGTATTCTCTTAATACTCCAACATCAATATGATGAAGTTTCATCTCCAAATCCAATCCAGGAAGACTTTCCCCATTTTCATAATTATTTGGATGATCCAAGAGAATCAAAAATGGAATATCTAAGAGATTTTGACAGCAAAGAAATAGAAATCGATTTTCCATGGGATCAAAAGTCAGATCTTTATCAGATCTTATACAATCCATGTAACTGTCCAGAAACAAAACCTCATTTTCCGTGATTGCACCACACACTGGGATGTGCAATTCTTTAGGTAAATCTGATAGCTTTTTTCTCATTTTTCTAAACCCATCCATTTGACATTTTCCAGAATGATTCTTTTGACAAATTGAACGCGGAGGATTTCTTAATTGGAATATGTAGTGCGGGAAGGGATAGGGCTCATTAGGAGATTCAGATCCTTCGTCAGATCCAGAAGTTGATTCGGTGTCCGAAGATCTTTCAGATTCAGAAGAGTCATCCAGAAGTGCTTCAATATTAAATGGAACATTATTCTTCTCCGAATCTTCTATTGGAATCAGATATTTCAAGTTTAATTTTATTATCGTTTCCATTCTTTTTTGTTGTTTTTTTAATGCCTTAATTATTCGTTCAAGAGGGATTTGTTTGTAATGGGAGAAATGAAGTATTTCATGTTTTTTGTCTTCATTTTCAATTTCATAGCTCTGGATTTCACTTTTTGGATCGTCTACCCATTGTCCTGGTATTCGTTTCCGTAATTTCAAGTCTTCACCTACAAAACTATCGAAGTCAAAATGAATCCATCCCTCACCAGTCAATTGAGAAATAAAATATCGAAAATAGAAGTTTGTTGTGTATTGATTTTTTTTTATTTCTTTCAAACCGTTAATCCGATCCTCACACCGCCACCAATTCTCAAAATTTGAGATCCATATCTCCTCGTTACTTTTAAGACGCATTAAAGCATTGTCTTCGTCCCAAAGCTGTTTTCTAAAATCTCCCAAAACAAACAATTCAAATATTTCATAAATATCCTTTTCATGTAGATTTCCCTTCTTTCTTTCTATCATCAATATTTCCGTAATCACATAACGAGCATCTTTGAATGTCTGAGTTTCTTCTTTTAATCTTGAAACAATATTTGGTGCTTCTTTGAAGAATTTCTCTCTTTC